TGACCCCCCCCACCACCCACTACCACCTCCGGGTACAATAACGGTCTGACCCCCTGATCCACCCCCACAGCACCAGCCAGACCCACTGCCACCTCCAATGACCTTCACTCCTCCTGAACCCCCACAACATCCACTACCACTTCCGGGTACAATAACGGTCTGACCCCCTGATCCACCACCACAGCACCAGCCAGACCCACTGCCACCACCAACGACCCTCACTCCTCCTGAACCTCCACAACATCCACTACCACCTCCGGGTACAATAACGGTCTGACCCCCTGATCCTCCACCACTGCCTCCTCCACAGCAAATTCCTCCACCACCCACTCCAATCAGGGGAATCTTTTGCTGGCAAATCCCACCCCCATGTCCTCCTCCAATGCAGCATCCAGAAGACTGGCCGCCTGGTACTACGACAACTCCAGTAGAACTTCCACCACAGCAGCTGGAACTTGAGATCTGTTGGATGCCGCCACAACAGGATGATCCTTGGCTTCCAGATACCGCAATCACATGTCCTGATCCACCTCTGCAGCAGCAGCAACATGCACAGCAACACGAGGAGCCTCCACTTCTGCTTCTTACACAGCAGCCAGCACTGGATCCACCACCACCACAACAAACACTAGATTGGATTTGTTTGCTCATCTTTTCTAGAAGCGGGTGGTATTGGTCTTGATGAATGTCTGCCTAAATGAAAACAACAGGCAACTTAGGTTGTCATACGGTCTCTGTTTCTTGGGGGCTCAGTTGTTATGAATAAATGCCAGCACTTTTTCACAGAAGAAAATTGTATCATGCAAATCTTCCCCAGAAGTAAATTGAGCTAGACTTCCATTCCATTCCATTCTTGAGATTGGGTTCATACTGTCCATCATCTAAGTTATATTGCTAGTTACAGCATGGCAGCATGGAGCCTTCATCTGGGATAAACATCTCCAGATCATGTCTCTGAAGGCACATCACATGGACACTACTCTACTGCCAAAGCTGGGCCATCTGAGTCTTCATGCAGACATGAGATTTTGGTGGGAACAACTTGGAAGACAAACAATTTAATCACTTCCTCATTTAAAGAATCTCTACGTATAAATTTGAGGGCGTAGCAAAGTTGTTTCCATAACTATCGCAACCGTTTAGATATCAGAGAATTGAGAGAACATTTCTCTTTGCTTACATACAATCAGACAATGCTTCTCCTATGCTCCTGAAATCATGAGGTACACCCAATAGTCTGGCTATATCCCAAACCCAGCCCTTGTGAGTTATCAAGATAAGAGAATAGATGGAAGAAATGTCAACAAAACCTTCCTTGGATTTTCTCTCAAATTGGGATGATGAATCAAACTCCAGAAGTTTTGGAACTCCAGCTCTCATTGTCTGTGGCCATTGGCTACCTTGGTTGGCCTAATGGAAGTTGGAGTCTGACAGTGCTTGAAGAAATCCAGTTTCCCTCTCCAATCTAGAAGAAATTCCTCTCTTCCTTGACTATTCAGAGAGTGCTACATCGAGATATCATCCAGTTTTCCAAATCAACTATTTCAGGAATTAGCATCTACCATAGGTGATCCTCCAGTCATCCGTGCAAAGACTGCAGAGCACCAAGGAAGGAAAGAATTGGATATCTTGGAGGTTGGCCTTACCTTCTCCAGCAAAGACAGTAGGATGAAGTAATCCCAAAGGAGCGTTTTATGATCTGAGAGACCAAGGACCTTTATATATCATCTCCTAGCCTCTCCTACGGGAAATGAGACACCGCCAGGCACGGTGAGTGACTTAGTTAGCATGTCTAACAACTGGCCTCCTGAAAGCTTAGATGCTTAGCAAGTCATATGAGATCAATATCTCTCTTTTCTATCACTACTTAGTTTAGGAAACACAAACATTTTAATGACCTACTCCACCTAATAGGTTAGTTCCGGAAATGCTGGATAGTAGAGGGGCCTCACCCATTGAGGGGGCTTCTGATGAATGCCAGGTTCCCTTTTTTTGTTGTTTTTTTGAAAGGGGCTTCAAGTAGGAATGGATAAATCATTTATTATTATTATTATTATTATTATTATTATTATTATTTGCCAGATGGGTTTTTCAAGAGCTTCCTCATCTATTCATTCCTTCTTATTTCTACATTAAGCTGCTATTTAGGAGGGAGCTCATGAGAATCTACATTTAAGTAGATATTTTTAAATAGATTTCTCAAAATATTCATTTTAATGCATCTAGACTGCTGAAAACTGTGTTGCAACAGTTGGAACAGGAAGATATGCCAAAATGCTGTGTATACATTCTAATTGCGTGTAGTCCAAAAGGAATCGTTTGGAAAATTAATTTTTTTAGAAGTTAAGATTGCATATTTTTATTCAGCTTTGCGTACAGACTTTAGATGAAATGAATTTCTCTGCCCCTAAGCTTTCCTAGGAGTTGGTGAACATATCATTTGTTTTTACAATAAGAACTTACCCAAATTCACAATTTTCCCCAAATAGGGGTCAGAATGATCTTGAGATTAAATAAATAAATAGTCAAAGGGTCAGAGAAGGGAATGCAAATGGATTTGACATTTTTGTCCCATCCAGACAAATGGATTCAGGGTTTAATATTTAAAACTCTAGATCTGTATTCCTTTCTGCACCTTGCTTTTGTTGTTTGTTTTGTGAAACTGCTAGCTCTTCATTTAGGCAAATATTTGCTCCAAGAAATTAACTCTCCATGGCTGAGAAGAGCAATATCTATACTAACTCTGTTTGATATTGGAAGTAAAAACCTTGTTTATTCTTCTTCAATTGAGTGGGAAGTCCTTGGGTTAAAAAATACAGTGAGGACAATATTTATTTTTGGATTTATACCCTACGTATCTAGCTGTTTGACCATCGAGGCCGTCACGAAAACACCAAAATACAGTGAAGAAAATACAGAAACAAAGCAATATTGATACCGTTCAGATTCAGACAAAAATCAAGCACTAAAGTCAATAAATTAGGAAGATGTGATGGAAAAGATAGGCTTTCATTTTTTTTTTTTATGTTGTTAATTCTTGGCTTTTCTAGCAGATTTTCTTGGATGTTGATGAGAATTTAGAATATTTGGAATATAGTGTGGAATCAAGATCATGGAAGAACGGCAGGCAAGTTGTATGTGCAGGAGAGACAACTTGGCTGAGAATTGGAAGTGGAAAAGGGGGAGGAAAATAGGATTAGCTGGGTGGGGACAAATGTATGAGCTTAAATGTTCTAGTATTCCTGAGAAATGTCAGTTGAAATGTCAGTTGTGTAGGTCCTCCAATGGATCTTGGCGGTCCAAACAATGCAAAAGGCAGGGAAATTCATACTCTCCAGGTACACTTAACAGCAAAGGTGAAAGAGGTGGTTAGCAGAAAGAAAAATTTCCGGATGATGAAGCTCCATACACAGCCGTGAATTGCTGGAGGAAAGGCAAGATTTATACCTGACCGATCAATAATCATTGATTGCAAGAAAAAGTATAAATGTGTGTGTGTGTGTGTATACTTATTTGATACATACAGCCATGTATTTAAATTGAAACTGAGTGCACATACAGGCTGGAAAAAACTCTTGGGGAGCGATGTGGAAAAGAGGCACAGAACAGAAATCAACCGATTTGGTCTTTCTCATAAATATGTGTATAGGTATGTGGGTGTGGGCCTGTAAATCTAAATTTTTGTTTTTAACCATGGCTTTGGTTTATTCCCCACCTTTCTTCTTAGCCAAGGTATTATAAAATATTTTTAAAATTTAAGAATTGCACACCTGCATGCCTATCAGTCAACCTCTGATTATGGGATGACTTGTCTCATGGCTTAAGATGCACCAGATGCCAGAGGCGGGATCTTGCTTCACTTGGCAGGTAGTTCCAGAGATTAAAAGACAACAAACGTGTGCCCCATAAGCAAAGAGAAGGGCCCAAATGCAGGATCTAGCATCTTTGTTTTCAGAGGACCTTGGAAGCTGTGCCAAGGGGTTGACCCCTTTGCTTGAAATCTTGGAGAAGCCCTGATGGGTTGTATTAGTAAAGCCTAGATGCCATATCTGGGTTTTGGTTTTATATAATGCAGCTCCACAAGCTTTTGATGGGAGGAGAACTAAGTGTTTCAGGAGGCCGATAGGAATAATATGCTTGAGATGATGGAGACCCACAACCACAGAGTGGCTCAGCAATAGGCTGAGAGCTAATATCTCAAGCAGATGTAGTTTGTGAGCTTGGCGTGGACATAACTAAGCTCAATGAGAAAGCCCATGTTTGTGCTGGCTATGGTTAGAATAAAAATGTGTGTTGGTAGAGGAGTTAAAAGTTTCCTTTCTCACCACACACCTGGTCTCTCTCTCTCAAACTCATCTCTCAGGGGTGATGAACATCTGCTCTTTTTGATGCTGAAGGCCACCATGGCTTTCTCTTTGGGTAGGCATCCCGCAATGATTACAAAATGAATGTGTGAACTGCCTGGCTTGGTTTGCCCAACACACTTAACCAGGTCAGGGCTAGACCCAGTATGTACCTTCTCATGACTTGATAAGTGTGGTTAGCTTTAACCTTGGCTAGTTGGTTTGTGTGCGCATGTATGTGCATCTTAGTGCTTTGTTTAAATCTAGTCCATTTGGTTAGTTTATGCTTCACTACGCAATGCCCGTGACAAACCAATAACATAGTCTAATTCAGTAACCGCATTGAGTGTGCAAACTCAATCCCTAAGTGAGTTAACATGGAAAATAAAATTAGCATTCAATGGCCTGCTTTCTGAACTCATGAGCAAGATCCTTTTCTGGATCCAGGAGGACTCTTTTTGTGATGAAAATGAAATATCCTTACACGGGTGCCATTTGGCAAAACTAAGAATTGTAGACTGTCTTTGGATGTGCTGAGTTATTCCCCAATCTATTGTGACTAACTGCTGAAATTTGTGCTGATTGATTGATTGATTGATTGATTGATTGCCTTTTTGTGTTGTTTTACTTTGTTTTGTACACGTAACTACTTTTGGTTCCTTTTCTTTTAAACATATATTTCTTGTTTCTTTTCTGGCTCGAGTCTGATCCTTTGTTACGAAGCAAAATAAATTGCCACACTTGGCTGCTGAAATCTTGCCCATTCCTGTTACAAAGAACAAAGGCCAAGGCCAATTCACTTGATCCTCAAATAAGCTTTATGATCTCCCGATACAAAAGTAGGCAACTGATGGAGAACATTATCAAATACTCCTCCATCAGGAAGGTATAAAGAATCACGGTACATTGCACAATTGCACATTGATGGTGTCACTGACAACCGAAACAGCAGATTTGAAGACAAGAGTGAGCTTGCAGTAGAGACACAAAATAAGGATGGTGACAGGCAGAGATTCCTCACCCAGCTTGATTTCTTTTTGTAATCCTATGTGGTGGGGAGTGGAACATAACATGAGACTGTAACTATCACTTCTGGCTGGGGAGGTATTGGTTAGCTTATTTTGTCGGGCCTATGCATGGTGGGATACTAATGGGTTGCTTGGTTTGCATGGAACCTGCGCCCATCCCTCCTCTGATGCAACACCCAGAACTCTGGGCCCTGCTGCTGCCACCACCACTAGCACCACCACATTGCACAATAATGGTTTTCCCACCACCACTGCTCCCACCACTAGAACCTCCTCCCGT